AGCCCCTCTCGCCCGATCCGAAGATCGGCCTCTACTAACCATGATATCCATTTTTGAAAACGTTATGTGTTCTTATTCCATTTATTAGCCTAGAATTACTATGTTATGCGTACAGCAAACATTGACTTGGTCATGTGGCGGAGCTCAAGGCTAAGGTGCCACTTAGTAGGGTGTGATTGGCTGTGGTGTGGGAACGATCCACTACCACATCTGTCATAATCTAGGATTAGGATTATTGCGAGAGGTTAGTGGATAAGTACTAGATGAATTATTGTTCCCATATGAAATAAATCTAGGATGAGGCAGGACACTATATACAGGGTTGGTTTCGACTCTTTTGAGACTCAAAGTGGACTTTTAACATGGGGCTTTCATACATGTGTTTTTTTTTTTAAATAATTATTTGTCTAATTTTTTTTGGGTATTTGACAATACTCGTAAAAATGTTACTTCTAATATATATACTTCCTCCATCCTAATTTATTTATCCATTACAGAAAATTCAACTTATTAAGAAGACATGCAATTATTACATTTTAATTCAAATTTTAAAATATATTTCCCACCATTGCCCGTTTGTTTGATTTTTAAAATGTATTTATTATAATGATTTATAGGGGCAATTTTGGAAATCTAATAAAATGAGATGGAGGGAGTATATATTAAAATTCACTTAAATATATATTGTAGTTTACAGTAAGAAAAATGACCAGAATTGTAACACGTCGAAATAAATGACATCTATCCACATCATAACAGTGCTATCATATGCATTGATCAATCATTTCATATTTTCTATTCATTATATCTGTGATCATTAGAAAAGATGGCATATGCACAATACATTCATAAATCCTAGATTCTGAATCTATAGCATACGTCATGGATACAATAGTAGAAAAGAAATTAAAATCAAATAAAGAAATGCCCTAATGGTTTACAACTTTCCAAGATGATACTTGGTTATAACAAGATGAGTTTAAACTTGATACAGATAAAACCCGAGGCTTAAACAAAAACATTTTCAACAAGAAACAAAAAGGAAGCCTTAAGTTCTGGTTCCTTCCAAGCTATGTCCTTGGCGGTGGCATATCATCAACACCTGAAAGTTGTTTTCCACATAGAGTGAGCCAAAGCCCAGTAGGAATACTCCAGCATAGTATATGAATTTTAACAAAATCATAAAGTGAATGCACATGCATGCTCTTTATCAAACATTGTAACGCCCTAAAGTAATTAACAATAGTATTCTCTCACAATAATTACCTATTAACAATACATTTTAGAAAATGATATCTTTACATTCATAAAATCCAGTTGTACAAAAGATGGTACATGCAATTATACATTCATAAGCCCTAATCCTGAATCTATAGCATGTGTCATAAACAAAAGATATAAAATAAGAGTTAAACCGATAAATGAATACCTTAATGACTACAACTTTCTAAGTCGATACTTGGTTACCTCAAAAGCGAGTTTGAAACTCAATACAAATAAAGCCCTTGGCTTGTACAAAAATAATTACAACAATAACAAAAAAAAGCTCTTGCCTTCAAGTCCTCCCAAGCTATGGCTTTGGCAAGAGCATATCATCAGTACCTGAAAATAGTTTTCCGCATAGGATGAGCCAAAACCCAGTAGAGAAACTCTATTACAGTGTATGAATCTTGACAAAGTTATAAAGTGAATACATATGCAATGCTCGTGCCAAAATATTTTATATCTCTTTCCAAAAAACATGCAATGTTAGGTTTATATCACAAGTCATGAAATCATTCCCTTTACAATAGAAAATAAGGCAGTTGTAGACGCGCCCGCGGAGGGGGGCCTTAAGCTACTACAATTCGGACTCGCGATTTTGTTGTCGCGGTTCTTAATCTGAACCAAAGAGTCCAAATCTAGCAAATCATTTTGAGAAACAGATTTTTGAAAAAGTAGTGCCAAACATGGACTGCTTTGCCAGATACAGAGTCGCCACCTAAATATTTTTTATGGGAGGAAATTTAGGAGACCCTGACTCGGTGCCGAAGGCCACATGTCCGTCATCACCGGAGTTGTCTCGGCTCGGGAGCTTGGGTACGATCGGGGAAGGTCAGCTATGAGCACCCCCTTTCGCCCGGTCCGAAGACCGGCCTCTACTAACCGTGATATCCAATTTTGAAAACGTTATGTGTTCTTATTCCAATTATTAGCCTAGAATTACTATGTTATGCGCACAGCAAACAAGTATAGACTAGATTGCCTAATTTGGAAATAAGCATTGCATATCCGTTTGTTTTGAAAAGCGCTTTGGAGATTTGCTACTCGCAAGTAGGCTAAAATACGGATTTCAACGAGTTTTTCCAACTCAAACAATCCAACCTCCACCCACAGGCATTAAAACAATTTAACACATAAGCACTTAGCCTCATGGCAGGCATACTGTTATGGCAACTCTCACACGCATGCGGGATGCTAAAGCATAAATACTTACATCGTACTCCGTGCCAAAACAATAAACTAGTTAGCAAATATGCATGTCCTAGTTTAAAAATGGCTAATGCATCACATGCAAAAATGCAATCTAGGCAGGCTCGGCTAACCCTAAACATGGCGTGTGAAATGCGATCAACTACCACATATTCAATTTGTGAATTGAAGTACAGATGCAGTTAGCGTGATGTACCGAGCCTAATGTATGTAATACAAATGTATGGATGCACGCATAAGGTATGCTAATTTTAAATATGCCCTAGTCTACCATCTTAAGCAGGTAAATAAAAGGGAAGAAAGACGTGAGGTTGGAAGACATACACACACTCACGCACACTTATTACAGATTTGCCCTCGCTCGGAGGGACCAAATAAATATTACAAATTAATTAACTACGCAAGCTAATTAAATATTGCAAATTGCTTAATTAATTAACAAATTAACTAAACTAAAGAAAAATAGTAAACAGCCTCGGGGCGAGGGCCAGATGCAACACATGCTCAGGACTGGCTCGGAATCGCACTGCCATGCATAGTTTGCCTCTGTTTTCCCTGCTCTGCTCCTCTGAAAACTGCCAAAGTCTCAGGGATGCCTCTCAGGACACTGGGGGATATCATCGGCTGAGCAGAATTTCCACCGGCAGTAGCATTTAGTCACCGGCACAAAATAGATCCACCGGCCATCGATTGACTGCCGGTCGGCACTAAATACTGCCGGCCGGCAATAAATTCCTGCAGAACCTGCAACTCACAGCAGCAAAGTGCAAAATCTTGCATGGCAATGCAATTCAAGCAATTTATGTACCCATCACATTCCTTATCATGTTAATGACTCAATGGAGGATGTGCCCCAATTCTCGGACCACCAATCACGTATTTCCATGCATGATGGCCCAAAGAATCAAGTGTGCAACTTCAATTTCAAATGCATGCAAACCAAATCAAACCAAAGTCCTAATCCCTATCACCAAATCAAGGGGCAAGGAATGCATGCAAAATGCAATGTAACCTAAGCATACAAGCTAAGGATGCAACATGGCATGGTAACAAGCTTATGTAAGCATACAAGCATACATGTGGCAATGCAAATGGATGCAAAGATGGACTTATGCATGAATTAGGCGGCTCTAAATAGGCCTAAAATAGTAGCCAAAAAGCTATAATGAGGGACCAAACACATGCACACA